GACATTGTCCTCGGGGCGTAGGAGATAAACAACTGCCTCCCTGCCAGTTAGTAACCGACTCACAGCGGTGTGATGTATAAACAGCCCTGCGGTCAGGCTTGTATAAGGCTAGGCACACGCTTGGCCTGGCGATTCGGGGGCACCTTTACACTTGCGCATGCGTTTTGGGTGTTAGATGTTTTCATTCACTTGCATTGTGCTGCTAAACGTAATAACTAATTTAACTAGAGTCAATTCCCTAGCCCAGCCCCCTCCCTCCTTGCATGCCATAGCCATTTCCTCTTCTGGGAGTGTCTAATTAATGCCTGTGCTAGCCCAGCTCTTTTTCCCTACCCCTTATCTCCCTGGGTGAGGGGTGAAGAGGAATCCTATAGGGCAGGGTAGCCAAATGTTGGCCCTCCAACTGTGGTGAAATCCCATCTGCCCAGCGGTGTCCCTATCCTCTTTGCCGCCCAAGTGCCCATGCACACTGGGCGTTATGTCGCGCGATTTCACGCAAATTTGCAGCGCGATATCGTGAGAAGTCGCCGTCCAATGATATTCAATGGAGCTGTTCTATTGAACAGCTCCATGTCGCTCGAAAGCGTTCTAGGTTGCTAAGAGAAGGGCTGAGAGATGTTTACGGCCATTACACATTTCCCCACTTGGCTCCTTGCAACCTGGGACGCTCTGGCTGGAAAGAGAGAGGCAGGCACACTGCAAATATTGTGCAGCAGAATGGCCATGCCGCTCTGTGTGCCGCCCCCTCTCGTGACCCAATGAGATGCCGCCTGAGGCTTCATTAAAAGGATGGCCATGCCTGTGGCTGTCAGAGTCTTGCAATGCCTTATGGGACTTGTAGTTTAACCACTGTAAGACGGCTGAAGTTTGGCTACCTCTGCTATAGGGTGTCACCTGTATCTGCTGGGGTTGCTGCCACTAGCGAAACCTGAACACTCTAGCATTGTGCAGAAATATTTTTGGAGGTTATACAGGAGAGAGCGAGGAGAGACGGCCAGGGGAGAGAGCGAGGAGAGACGGCCAGGGGAGAGAGCGAGGAGAGACGGCCAGGGGAGAGAGCGAGGAAAGGCGGCCAGGGGAGAGAGCGAGGAAGGACGGCCAGGGGAAGAGAGGGAGGAGAGATGGCCAGGCGAGAGAGGGAGGAGAGATGGCCAGGGGAGAGAGGGAGGAGAGACGGCCAAGGGAGGGAGGGAGGAATACGGCCAGGGGAGAGAGCGAGGAGAGATGGCCAGGGGAGAGAGGGAGAAGAGACGGCCAGGGGAGAGAGCGAGAGGAGAGAGCGAGGGGAGAGAGGAAGAGGGGGGAGAGGGAGAGAGGAGAGACGGTCAGGGGAGAGAGCGAGGAGAGACAGCCAGTGGAGAGAGCGAGGAGAGACGGCCAGGGGAGAGAGAGCCAGGAGAGAGAGTGAGGAGAGAGGAAGAGCGAGGAGAGACAGCCAGGGGAGAGAGAGAGCAAGGATAGAGAGACAGGGAAGAGAGCCAGGAGAAAGAGAGACAGGAGAGACAGGCAGGAGAGAAAGAGAGAGAGAGAGAGAGAGGAGGGTATAGAGAGAAAATAAAGAGAAGAGAGAGATTAAGAAAGAGGAGAGAGAGAGAAGGAGAGAGTAGAGGATAGAGAGGGAAAAAGAGAGAGGGGGGAAAGGGAAGGTATAGAGAGGAGAGATAGATAGAGGATAGGAGAGAGAGGAGAGTGGGAGAGGAAAGATGGATGGATGGATAGAAGATGGATGGATAGATGGATGGACAGGATGAGAGTGTTCTGGAGAGAGGGGCAGACATGACAGCAGACACATGTTGAGCTCAGACTGTCTGAAGTGCTGGCACATTATATTGAGGAGCTTTTCTTCTCCGGCAGCAGCAAGCAGATTGTGCGCCTCTTTCACATTAATATAAAAGCCTGTAAATTATGGTCCAGGGCTTGCAGAGCGGCGGTTCCTCCCCGGGGTTATATTCTAGCCATACACTTGTCAAGGTCAATCACTGTGCATCGCTCCATGTCACTAATTTGGCTCTCAGTGCAGATGGGTTTTATGCGCAGGCCTCACTTAAGGTAGTTAGAGCGTTTCAATGGTGGTAAAGCGCAGGGAATGGAGAGAGAAATAGCCGCTTATTGAAGAGCACTTTGAGCGTTCCAAATTGCGGCTGAAACATTGAAACATGGCTGGATACAGAGAAGAAAAAAAGCTGCTCCATTGGATCTGACCTTTGTATAGACAACATGCTACATGGAGCCGCAAGAGACTCACCATTTTCACTTTACCAAAAATCAGCATATTTTGTAGTGAAAGGGAAAGTCGGAATTAAAGTCCAATTCCAGACTAGGCACTCCCCCTCATTTTTATGTATACTTACCTTTTCTGAGTTTTTAGGGTGGTCACATGATGCTGTAGGGTCCTCTTTGCCTCTCCTCCAGGCTGAGCATTCCTCAATGGTGGAGAGAGGGGCGCTCATGTGATATCATGATGTCTCCATTACACGGCGAATGCAAAGTGTCATACCGGGCCGATGACGCCCTGCACTCAGGGGTCCTGAGAGGTTGTCATTCAACATGGAAGACTGAGGACATCTTGTGGTGAAAAAGAATACTGCAGGGGATAGCTCATTTTTTTTTTTTTTGGTGGAAAGCTCATTTTTTGGGGGGATAGCTCATTATTGAGGGGGCAGTTACTTTTTTGGGGAAATTGCACTTTTTTAGTGGATAGCTCATTTTTGGGGGGTAGCTTCATTTTTGGGGGGATAGCTCATTTCTTGGTGGATAGTGCCTTTTTGGGGGAATAGATCCTTTTTTGGGGGATAGCTAATTTTTTGGGGAGATTAGCTCTTTATTTGTGGATAGCTCTTTTTTTTTTTTTTGTGGATAGCTCCCTTTATTTTGGGGGGAAAGCTCCTTTTTGAGGGACTAGATCGTTTTTTTGGGGATAGTTATTTTTTTTTGGTGGAAAGCTAATTTTTGGGCGGATAGCTTCATTTTTGGGGGGATAGCTCATTTCTTGGTGGATAGTGCCTTTTTTGGGGGAATAGATCCTTTTTTGGGGGATAGCTAATTTTTGGGGGAGAATAGCTCTTTTTTTGTGGATAGCTCCCTTTTATTTTTTGGGGGGATAGCTCCTTTTTGAGGGACTAGATCGTTTTTTTGGGAATAGTTATTTTTTTTTTGGTGGAAAACTAATTTTTTGATAGGATAGGTCCTTATGGGAATAGCTCTGTTTTTAGGGATAGCTCCCTTTTTTGGGGGGTGATCGTTCCTCTTTGGACAGAGAGCTCCTTTTTGACAGATACATTATTTAAAAATGTGCCAGACTTGGGCTTTATGGGGTTTGAAGTGTACCTACACCTAAAATCTTTTTTTTACATTTGGATGGTGTGGTGAGAGGGTAGAACCCCTGACATGTTTTTATAGCTGCCTGTGTCTCTGCTGCTTAAATTTCCCCTTTCTACCTCTCCATTTCCTACCTGCTGGCCATGGGAATATCAAAAATGTTGAGCTATCCCCAGAACAGGAAAATCCCCTTTCTTCTGTGTTCAAGAGAAGATTTTCCTCACTTTGGAGAAATTTGGTCCCACTTCCCTTTGGGTCTACAGAACAGGAAATGAAGGGAAATGTCTACTCACTGACAGGGGTGAAGGTTTAATCTGAATCCTTTTAAAGCCAAAAAATGTTTTTTCGCTTTAGATATACTTTAAGGATGCAATGGGCTTTAAATGGCTGCTTAGGGTAAGAAAAGCCCCCCTTAGGGTGGAGTCACACCTGTACAAATGTGCATTGACTTGTCATTGCCCAAGGTGGTGTAATACTACATTATGGCCGCTAGATGGAGCTGATGAGCATAGGAAAGAGGTATTAATTTCTTATACTCCTCAGCGCCATCTAGTGGCCATATTACAGTATCACACTGCATTCGACAGGAAAAGAAAATGATTCCCTGTGCTCCTCAGCTCCCTCTAGTGGCTGTTACATTGCAGTATTACGTCACATCACATTCCATTCACATCACATATTACATCGCGTTTTCTGAGCTCCGGGGGTTCAGGGTTTGTTCTCATTCATTAAAGGGCCAGTCCACCAAATTTCTTTCTTTGATTTGGATAGTTAATTGAAGGGTTAAAATCCCTGCTCATTTTTTTTCTTATCAGCGTTTGGAGTCCCTGTAGTGCAAAGCTCAGACCGGCATAGGAAGAAGCAGCACGAGGAGCCATTACTCTGCGCTGCAATGCAAGAAGCATGTTGGCAGGAGAGGAGAGAGCAGAGTGACAGAGAGATGAGCTCATCAGTCCGCTGCTTCTCTTTTCACTGTCCAGTCACAGGCTGGGTGGGCGGGACAAGAACTGTTAGTGTTTCAGACTGTACATTGCAACTTATGTAGCATCAGTCTACAAATCATCAGTCTGCTGCAGGCAGGAGGAAGCATTTCCTTACTCTCCCCTCCCCCAGTGATCAGTATGCTGCAGGCAGGAGGAAGCATTTCCTCAGTCTCCCCTCCCCCAGTGATCAGTCTGCTGCAGGCAGGAGGAAGCATTTCCTCAGTCTCCCCTCCCCCAGTGATCAGTCTGCTGCAGGCAGGAGGAAGCATTTCCTCAGTCTCCCCTCCCCCCGTGATGAGACGGTACATTGATCCCAGTGTGTGTGGACGGGTCACACTGACACATTATTGATCGTGATTCCGGGTTCAGTTTATTATGTATTCATGAGCCGTTTATAATGAGATGATCTCTTTCTCCTGTACACCTAATAAGTATAATGGAGTGTAGTTCCCCTTTAAATGTTGCGCACGCACACACACACACACACACACACACACTAAGCGATTGTTTGGGATTCCAGGTCTTGGCCGTCCTCGAGTCCTCGCCGCTCATATATATCGGGACGGCGGCCAATCGGCTCACAATAGATGATTAGCCGGGAGTTGCCAGAGGTTAATTAAAGCGCAGATATTAATGACTCGGCTGCCTCGCCCCCGGTGCCTGAAATACTTCATTCTCTTCCCTCCTTTCATCCCGCAGGAAGCGGTGGGTTGCGTCACGCTGGCGCTCCGATCGGACGCGGCCTACGTCGCACGAGAGATGTGCGCTTTGAAGCCAGAGGCTCAGCTCCTGATCACTGATTGGCTGCACGACCACTGCAGGACGTCGTTAGAAGAAACGCTGAACGCCGATAAGAGTTTTCAGGACGACCCAGCGGGCCGAGACCTGGAGCTGATCACCACGGCGCTGATCCATATGGAGGACGCACAGGCCAAGAGCCATCTCTTATACATCGACATGCTCATTGCGAAGGGTGAGTCCAGGCCGGGGGGGCGGAGAAGCAGGCTCAGAAACCATATCTCAGGGGTAGGCAACCTCCAGCTGTGGTGAAACTACAATTCCCATCATCCTTCTGCCTCTGGGAGTCATGCCTGTGGCTGCCAGTCTTGCAGTGCCTCATGGGACTTGTAGTTCCACAACAGCTGGAGGGCCAAGGTTTCCTAACCCTTGCTCTAAATCAGGAGTAAGCAACATTAGAGCAATTGAAGTTTCAGCACTCCAGCTGTGCTGAAACTACAATTCCCATCATGCTACTGCCACTGAGCATCATGTCTATGGCTGTCAGTCTTGCAATGCCTCATGGGCAGGGGCTGACTGGCAACTTTTAGCCCAGGGGGCAAGTACAACCCAGAGGCCCATGGTGCAGCGACTTGTCCCCCCTCCCGCTCTGCCTCTTCCCCGGCTTCTCCCCGCCCCTGTCTGTCACTTTTGCCGTCTATGTAACAGTAGTTTGAATGTATTTATCGGTTTAGGAAATGTAAAGCGCACTGGTAGTGGAGCGATGCCTCGTCAGGGCTGTGCATGACTGCTGCGCCACTGGTAGTTCTGCCACTAAAACTCATGGGGCTTTTAGTTCCACAACTGGAGTGCCACGGTTGCCTACCCTGCTGTACCTGCTCCCCCCTCTGCTGATTCATTCATGAA